AAATTGAAATTTCAACGTTTTAGTAAGAAGGTAGATTTTGGAAAACTTTGGAAGGCCATAACTTTTTTTTCTATTATAGATAAAAAGCTGAAACTTTCACTGAATTTTATCCCAATCAAAGGACTACAATCCCTGAAAATTTCAGCTCATTTGGACTTATAGTTCCTGAGATAAAATCATGTTAGGCAATTTGGGGTGATTTATCAATTTTTCAATTTTTCTGAGTGCCTTTTTTCATAGATTTCGGCTTCAAATCCGAGAATAATTTTGTGTATGGAGTTTGGGAGATGTTGACTGACCATTAGGATACAAAATCTCCACGAAAAAAAATTTGAAATTTCATCGTTTTAGTAAAAAGGTACCTACTTTATGATTTTGGAAAATTTTGAAAGGTTATAACTTTTTTTCTATTATAGATAGAAAGCTGAAATTTGGGGTGATTTATCAATTTTTCAATTTTTCTGAGTGCCTTTTTTCATAGATTTCGGCTTCAAATCTGAGAATAATTTAGTGTATGGAGTTTGGGGTATGTTGATTGACCATAAGGATACAAAATCTCGACAAAAAAAAAATTGAAATTTCATCGTTTTAGTAAGAAGGTACCTACCTTATGATTTAGATTTTGGAAAACTTTGAAAGGTCATAACTTTTTTTCTATTATAGATAGAAAGCTGAAACTTTCACTGAATTTTATCCCAATCAAGGGACCACAATCCCTGAAAATTTCAGCTCATTTGCATCTATAGTTCCTGAGATAAAATCGTGTTAAGCAATTTGGGGTGATTTATCAATTTTTCAATTTTTCTGAGTGCCTTTTTTCATAGATTTCGGCTTCAAATCTGAGAATAATTTAGTGTATGGAGTTTGGGGTATGTTGATTGACCATTAGGATACAAACTCTCGACAAAAAAAAAAATTGAAATTTCATCGTTTCAGTAAGAAGGTACCTACCTTATGATTTAGATTTTGGAAAACTTTGAAAGTTCATAACTTTTTTTCTATTATAGATAGAAAGCTGAAACTTTCACTGAATTTTATCCCAATTAAGGGACCACAATCCCTGAAAATTTCAGCTCATTTGCATCTATAGTTCCTGAGATAAAATCGTGTTAAGCAATTTGGGGTGATTTATCAATTTTTCAATTTTTCTGAGTGCCTTTTTTTATAGATTTCAGCTTCAAATCTGAGAATAATTTAGTGTATGGAGTTTGGGGTATGTTGATTGACCATTAGCATACAAAATCTCGACAAAAAAAAATTGAAATTTCATCGTTTTAGTAAGAAGAACTCACTAGTTTCTATCCGATCGTAATTAGGCGCAAATTGAAGCCAATTCAATCCCCTACAAATCTATAATCAATATTTTCATGTAGCTTCAATATAAAATCCTAATTGAAGCGGCTCATCCTCAAAAAAAAAATTCGCTTCCTATGTATGTATTCAGAGCTATACCATTTCAGAAACGTTCAATTTCGAAATTTCGCCTAATGACCCTACACGGAACCGGAAAACAATTTTTCACTCGCAAGCGATATAACGTTGGGCCTAATGGGGCCGTAAAAATAAATCAAACTAGAAAATAAAAGCCCATAGTAAATAATAGTTGAAAAGAATTATAAGCGAAAATATTACAATTCCAGAAATAATAAGTATAAGATTCAGTTTTGGTTGAACATGATTCCGAGGCATTTTTCAAAATTTATCAGCTTTTTTGGCTCCCTTCGAGAGCCGTGTATTTTATTTATGTTCGAATATTGTGCAGGCACAAAGGGACGATCCGTGACTCGAATGTCTCCTTATCGACCACCAGGGCAAAACTCTGTTTTCTTAATACACAGTCTCGGAAATTGACTGGATTGGCTTGAAATTTGACTGTTATAGTTATTTCAAGACTTTGAGATTGGTTTTTGAGAAAAGTAGGATGCCATAGAAATCTTCTTTGAGATTGATATAATAAGGCTTTGATCCGATGCCATAAAAATCCTCAATTATTTGACAGAGTTTTTCTGTAACTCTACTGTACTCTCAAATGTCCGATTGAAAACTCTTCCAAAAGAAAATATCGAACTTCAACTGGAAAAAGTATGAGGCAACAGATGCCGCTCTCTCGTCGCTTCCGAACTGATGAGATGAACCGCAGAAATGTTCAATAATATGGTGCAGCGACAGGACAGTTAAGTCGTTTTCTTTCGACAACTCTTCGCCTAAGATATTCAATAATGGGCGATAATTGAATTTTCCGTTTTGTTGTCGCAATTTAAAACTCGGTTTCTAATTAAGTTTGTCTGCAACCGACCCCGGCTGGCGGATTTATCTCGCCGCGTTTACATTAAAACAACGTTGCTACACAGGAGCACAAAAGTTTTATGTGTGTTCGTCGGGGCCAGTTTTTGCTCGTTTCCATGCAACCCCATTAAGGAAGTACGTTCGCTATATACCGCTACATATAACCCCAAAGCTTGTATACTATTTTTGTGTTTTTGGGGAGGATTAGCTGGTGTGGCTTTAGGGATTTAGCTCTATACTTTGTTGGAAAAAAGAAATGTCAATCCCTAGAAAAAGCAGCATATTTTTCCATTAAGCTTCTATTATTTGAAGACAATAATCCTTTCAATTTTCACACAAATCTTTTTGTTCAAAATGTTGCAGCAAACATTAGATTCGGATTTAATTTAATTCCTGTCGCACACCTAGTAAAATACGCCTGCTTTTGAGCTGGTTTAGAGTTCATGTGTGAGCTCTATATACAAACCTCTGAAAGGCGACGAATGGAAACTTTGGCCGGAAAAGACTTACGTATGCGAATCGGTTTAATCAAGAGCTAACTGAGCCTAGTTTAGTTTTGAAGCTGGACATTTTGGTTTCAGGTGCAAAGTGTGCTGTTGCAACATAGGAAGTTTAATCTTGAAGCAATTCTATATGAAATTATTACTAATTTTGGCCAAATTTTAATTGAAATGATTGCTCAATTTATATAAGTTTTTGATGTATATGCTGGTCAGTGATGGATTTCTATGGTACCGGAACCAAGTCCTATTGTGAAAGGAAATGAAGTTTTGTTGGTTAAAACAACCGAAAACCGTGGAAATTGAAAATGAAGTTAAGGAAAAGTGGAGGATTAAAAATTTTGGTTTTGGGCAGGATTCGAATCTTTTTGATTTTTATTTTGGTGTTGTTAGAGGAAGTTGCGTGGTTCTCCGCTCATTGCCAAACTGCTCAATCCTTCAATAGACCCACACATTTATAGCATCGGTCCTAATTCGAATATATGTAGGTTTCGTCCATGTGCGTTGTGAGCGGAGAACCACGTAACTTCCTCTAACAACAGCAAAACACAAATCAAAAAGATCTGTAGGGTTGTGGTGGCTTGGTTGGTTAGAGCGTAGCACTGGCAATGCTGAATACTCGGGTTCGAATCCCGCCCAAGACCAAAATTTTTAATCCTCCAATTTTCCTTAACTTTCTCTTCATTTTCAAGTCCTATTGTGTCTGGAAGGAGGTTTTTATGGTACTGGATCGAAAGCTTATGGTCAATTTGTAACAGAATCAATAGTAAATTCATATTCTCGGTTCAAGCTCATCTTTCGTGGGAAAAGTTTTATTTTTATAGATAGATAAAATGTGACCCTAATGAAATTTACAAACACATGGAGTTCTGCGAACGACCTAATCTGTTCAAGGGGAAAAATCACTTGAAAGCCAGAAAATATCCAATTTTATAGCTTCAAGATTATTATTACTGTAACCCAGAATTGACAAAGATATAGGCAAAAGTTATGTTTTCCTAGATAAACACTAAACTTTAAACTAATCTGTCGACTGAACCAGATCCCATGTGGTTGTAATAATTTATCCAAAGTCAAGGATAATCTTCTGAATACCCCCACGTTTTATGACGAGCCCAGATGTCAGGTAACTGATACCGCTGGAAAGAATGATGCATATTTGAAGCATGTGTGTGTGTAGCGAAGCAATAATTACATGAGCTGAATTTTTAAGACACAATAACAAATTGTATAACAATAAAATTATCAAGGGTTATTACTTGGGTGAAATGTTAACTGTAAGATAGTCAAATGCTTAGTTATAATTAAGATATAGGTAGGTTAAGATAGGAGTGATTACTCAATTATTAAATTATTAAATTAATAGAGGATAGTTTAGTTCATCATAAAGTGGTACCCAGATGGTGGTTCCTTTTGCTTATTCAAATTGAGGCTTGTTAATTTCAGTTATCGCCAATTCGTCACTAGTTTTTACTACTAGTTATCGCCGGATCAAGTTCATGGTCCGTTTCTCAGTTTAGTAGTTCATCTGCCGCCCGGTGTTTTAGTAAAAGCTCTTCAAAGAGGTGATAGTTTATTTTTAATTTCAATTCCAATAAAGAGTCAGATTTGGAACTAAATCTTTAAATTGGGAAATTACTCTCTTTTCTTTCAACTGTCTCTAATAACACCTTTCAATAACCACTCCAAGAAGAGAAGAAATGAGATTTCGTTCAGATTGCCTCCGGTTCAGAAAACTGTTATTTACTGCTTCAGATCAGTTTACTTTTCAACATAATTTACTAAAGATGCGACATTCACGCTACCAAAATATCAATTCTTACATAACATATCAATTTTGTCACAATCTAAAAAAAGGTTTTTATGGTAACGGAGCAAAAGCCTATTTTGCCAATCTGAAAAGCAGTTTCTATGGAATTGAAGCAAAAGTCTATTATGTCAATGATTCAGTTTTCTAGTCTTCATTTCAATTTCTTTCTATTACCGGCTCTTGAATTTCCGTTTTTTTTTTTTCAAATTTCAATGAGAAAATTACTAACTAAACTCATTTGTATCGGACTGACAAGAACCCATGAGTTTTGAAACCTAGTAGCATCTATTTCTAATTTAAATTAAACAAACATTAAGGCTCAAAATACAAATAATTATTACAGTGTGTGCTGACCCTCATTAAGCTTTAGCCCCCCTTAATCATACGATAGTTAAACTACTCACCTGGGTCCGGATAACGAAAATTCCTGGCCAAATGGCAGAGCTGCAGAGGCAGATAACGTGTGTCGGCCCTTTGCGGAAATTTGACTACGGGCGGAGCTCCAGACAGGAAGCCCCTTTGCAATTCCCAGCCCACTTCGGAAATGATGCTGGCTTTGCGGAAGTACGGGGTCACTTCGCGGAGGTATCTCACTGAAACGGAAATTTTGTATCAAATTAATTGTAACTATGGAAGTTTTAGTATTTAAACTTCAAAACGTAAAACCAAAATTGACAAAATTAAATCAGATTTGCCAAGGCATTTTTCTTTTTACCTCCGATGATTCCCACTCTGTTAGCCCGGCTCTCGATGGCAACGTAAGAGGAAATTATTGGCTCTAGGGAAATTAATTTCAATTCCGAAAAGGACGATAAAGGGTTTTTGAGATCAATAATTTTACTTACTTTAATTGGGAAGTAGGTACAACCAACTAGAAATATTTGAGCTTTTTTTTTTCTAAAGGAATCCTTTATTGGCCCCCAGGATCTAAGGCTTTGGTGCAACAGCGAAGGAAAATAAAAATCGGAAATTGCTCTTTTGATTCTATAGAGGTATACAGTTTGCAACAGGAAAATCTTCAATTGAGTTTCCACAAATTTAATACAAAACTAACTAATTTATCCAAAATCCCATTGACTTACTGCAAAATAAACCAAATCCACATTATTGTTTGGAAATGTATTCACACCAAAATATAATTATCTATTGTATAATTGATTCGAAAATTCTACAACAAGCAAAAAGTCGCCCTGGAACTTTTCTATTAGACCCGCAACCCCTATAAAAACTTCCATTTTATTAAACGAGGTCCGAGGCGGAAAATCCAGAGCGAAATTTATGAGGGCAGTAAGTTGGGATATTGTATGGGGGGAACTGGCCAAGAGAAGACAATCTTTGGTTGGAGATATATTAATTAATTGTACAGCGCGTCAATAACAAAAGAACAAAGTTCAATATGATATCAACATTAATGAGCTGGCAAACTTTTAGTTATAAAATCATTAAAGCCAAATCTAAGCTAATGTTTGCTTTGCATGCCCGGTAATTTTAGCTAGAATTATACATTACAAACATTGGATTTTGTATGATTATATTGACGCATGGAAAAGTTAATATACATAGTTTTACTAATAGAAAACAGCTCTATGAGTAAAGATTTGAGAATTCAGAAATCTGTTGTATAGAGGCTTTGAGGTTGAAGATATTGTGTGAAAAATAATTATAAAGTTTATTTTAGGTATTTAAATGGGAAAAAATTTTTGCAAGATAAGGAGAGGTTTCTGAATTATACTTTACAAGTTCAACTTGGGTTCTTTGAAGTCCATGCTTTTCTAGTTCAAATTTGAGCTCAAGGAGAGTCAAGCATAAAATTATTAAGCTTTCCAATTTTATCTCAGGAACTATAGGTGCAAATGAGCTCATTTTTAGGGATTGTAGTCCTTTTATTGGGATAAGATTCAGTGAAAATTTCAGCTTTCTACCTATAATAGAAAAAAAGTTATGCCCTTCCAAAGTTTTCGTGTGTTAAGCAATTTGGGATGATTTGTCAATTTTTCAAAATGTCTGAGTGCCTTTTTTCATAGATTTCGGCTTCAAATCTGAGAATAATTTAGTATATGGACTTAGGGGTATGTTGATTGACCATTAGGATACAAAATCTCGACAAAAAAAAAATTGAAATTTCATCGTTTTAGTAAGGTCATAACTTTTTTTCTATTATAGATAGAAAGCTGAAACTTTCACTGCATTTTAACCCTTTCAAGGGACTACAATCCCTGAAAATTTCAGCTCATTTGCATTTATAGTTCCTGAGATAAAATCGTGTTAAGCAATTTGGGGTGATTTATCAATTTTTCAATTTTTCTGAGTGCCTTTTTTCATAGATTTCGACTTCAAATTTGAGAATAATTTAGTGTATGGTGTTTGGGGTATGTTGATTGACCATTAGAATACAAAATCTCGACAAATTTTTTTTTTGAAATTTCATCGTTTTAGTAAGAAGGTGAAGGTACCATCGTCACCAAAAGTAACTGGGACAGCATCACATTAGCTCTTGTCCTATTATATAAATTTTATTGTCAAATATTTGTCAAACTATGAATTAAATGCATTGGAATGAATGACAGTAGAATTTCGCTACTGACGTCCCCTCTCTATTGATTTCGAAAAGAGAGAAGAAGACAGCAAGTGCCATAGCAAAAGGGATAAGGATTTCTATCCATTACACCATCCCGCCTCAGGATTACTCATCCTTGCTCATCCTCATAAAGCTTACTTTTCATGCATCCGTTTTTCCGTCAATTCCACGATCCGGAAATATCTCTATTGGTCCAATAGGTTGGCGCCAAAATATTGGACCAATAGGCCAGATCATCGGACTGACGGAAAAACGGATGCATGAAAAGTAAGCTTTAGGCGTACCTACGTTCGCCATTTCTCGAGTCGGCAGGGCCTGCGAGTGACGTCACCATTATCAGCAGCTTAAAGCTTAGTACTCATAACCGCGAAATTCGCTCTTTTTTGATATTGCTTCGACGATTTGACGTTTGATTCATGCATAAAGCGTCAAATTGTCAATGCAATGTCAAAAAAGAGCAAATTTCGCGGTTATGAGTACCAGGCTAAAGTATAGTGGTGACGTCACCCGCAGGCCTTGATGGGATGCTTGCGATTCAGGTTCGGCTAATGCATTTTACGCCGAAAGTTGAGGTCTGCGGCTGAAATGATAGACACTTTCAGCTCAATGGGCAATCCTTTAGGGTCAAGTTTTCTTGGGATTCCCCCAAACATATTAGTGTCGACTTCCCATTTTTTATTCCAAAAAAAAGCAATAAAGTAAAAACAAGTGCCCCCCTAAATTTTTCTGGCCCAGTCTGCCCCCCCCCCTAATGTCACACCCTAGCGTCGCCACTGCGCTAGTACCTCTCTCATAAATCTAATACAATTTGGGATACAAGTCGAGTGTTGCTCTTCGCTCTATACCGTACCCGAGTTCTGCACTCCACTCTGCACTTGTGGGTTGGGTTTCACGTTCCGGTCCCATTACAGTGCGGCTAAAGCCAAATAAGAAACTGGCGTTCTGAATATGAGGCAATTTTTGGCAAGAATATTCAAGCATAATCTGATTATGCTAGGTTATGTGATGTGTCAATTGTGTCATACTTCCCTAACTCCCTTTCCATCAAATTCTGGGCCTGCGAAAGACATCACTATCAGCAGAAATTAGCAATGACGTCACCCGCAGACCTCGATCGAATGCTTGCGATTCAGGCTATGCTAGTGAGTTAATTTTTTCGTCGATTTTAAATCTAGAAAAGGTGATTTTCGGTCTCTTCTCACAAAACAAATTAGTGTTCTTGATTCTCGAGTATCCCAGAATTTGGGGAGTTTTTTATTCTGTGACTTGACGTGTGTCATGAACAGTGTTGTTCAAAGGGCACAATTGTGCCAAAAGTGAGCACTTTTCGCCCGCAAAATGCACGGTGGCACCACTTTTAAAAATTTGGCACGATTCACATTTATTAGATATAATCATTTTCAAATTTTGAAGATGAGAGAGACTAGAGCTGGAGCACTTATCCTTTTTCACGTGACAAATCACGTGAGATCTGTCAAATTTTGCTCAGTTTGCTCACAGTTGCAATTACCGAACCCCTTGAGCCTCTATTGTAGGTATTTTTTTGACTGTCAGTTGAGTTGTCATTATAGTGAATTTAATATATGAAATATATTATTAATTAATTAACCCATCCAATGGAATTCGCTATTAAGGCACTATTTGGCACTATTTGAGTGTTGCTGCAGGCACACACGAAAATTTCCCAGGAACAACCCTGGTCATGAATCGGTGGTTATTCGATTATTCAACGGATCATGGTAATCGGTAGTCGATTTATAACTAAATATGTAGAAATTTATTTATTTCCATCATTCAGGGCCGGTTTCCAAATAGCGAGTCACCCCCAGGGTTAAGGATAACTCTAGGTCCAAAGAAAATCCCGTAAAAATTACAATCCAGAGTCTACTTAATAAAACTTGAGTTTTTGTCACTTACCCCATTGGAAAACTGGAAATGTTTGGCAAAAAATGAAGAAAATTCAAAGCATCGTCTTCTCAATCGGTTTTTCCTATTCCAATGACCGACTGTTAAAACTGGGAAATGACATTGTGCGACGTTGCCACATCTCAATTACATTTTAAAGTTTTTTGTTTAAATAATTAATTAATAATGTTTATAAAATGATAAATTCCGAAAATAATGCATTGGAATTTTATTTTAAATAAATTTCAATAAAAATGCTTAATAGTAAGAAAGACAAAGAGGGAGATGAAGTAGGAAAAAATTAAATCTAAAAATCGAAGTTTTTGGTGGAAAAATGAAGCAAATTCAAAGCCCCGTCTTTAAAATCATCTTTTTCTAATTGAAAAATGGAAAAGTAGAAAATTCAATGGAAAACCAACATTCCAAAGCCTACTTGAGAAATCAAAGTTTTGGTCACTTACCTCATTGGGAAACTGGAAATTTTTGGTGGAAAATAGAGAAAACTCAAAGCCTCGAACTTTAAAACGATTTTCCCGATTGAAAACGGTCTGGAAAAGCGGAAAATTTGAGGAAAAACTGGACAAAAATGTAAACTCGTCAATTGAAAATGGCTGACTGACAAAAATGGCAAATGACATTTATTACAAGGTCTACTTGAAGTTGGCTACAAACGATGTTGCCACGTCACAAAACTTCCAAAAAAATCATTTAAAATGGGATTCTACTTGTAATCTAATAATTAAAAACCCGTTAAATAAATAATTATTAACGATTTTGAAATTAGAAATTCCTTAAATAAGTCCTCAAAAATTTGCTTTTCAATAAGTTTTTTTCACTTACCTTTTGACCGTAAATAAATGGATCTAAAACTGGAAATTTCTAGCAGAAAATGGAAAAAAATCGAAGCCTCGTACTTTAAACTAGTTTTTTCGACTAAAAAAACCCTAAAAAAGTGGAAAATTCGAGGAAAACCTGGATAAAAATGTAAACACGACACTTCAAAATGGCCGACTAATAATTTGGTAATGAGTACCTTCACAAGAGCCAGGAATAGAATTCTTATGCTCTAACAAGTTCAAAAATTATCTATTAAAACTTCTCTGGATGAAA